ATGTCAGGAGTGATATGCGACAAGAAGATCAGCGCAAGAGTGAAGGGCAAAGTTCATAAAACGGTAGTAAGACCTGCAATGATCTATGGTGCGGAAGCGTGGCCTATTAAAAAGTCACAGGAGAAGAAACTGGACGTGGCCGAAATGAAGATGTTGAGGTGGATGTGTGGAGTAACAAAACTTGATAAGATCAGGAATGAAATCATTAGAGGGGCAACTAAGGTGGTAGAAGCTTCAAAGAATATATGTATAATATATATATATATATATATATATATATATATATATATATATATATATATATATATATATATATGTATATAAATAAATCAATATATGTGTGTATGTGTGTGTGTGTGTATGTGTGTGTGTGTGTGTGTGTGTGTGTGTGTGTGTGTGTGTACAAAATATATATTCTTATATATATACATACATATATATATATATATATATATATATATATATATATATATATATATATATATATATATATATATATATATATATACATATATGTATATATATGTATATCTTATGTGTGTATGTGCGTGTGTGTGTGTGTGTGTGTGTGTGTGTGTGTGTGTGTGTGTGTGTGTGTGTGTGTGTGTGTGTGTGTGTGCGTAATATATATATATATATATATATATATATATATATATATATATATACATATATATATATATATATTATGTATGAATTAGCGCGTGCGCGCGCGCGTGTATGTGCGTGTGTGTATGTGTGTGTGTGTGTGCTTGTGTATATATATCGAATGTGTGTGTATGTATGCGTATAATTGTGTACATGTATGTATATTAGTATGTATGTGTGTGTGTATGTGTGTGTGTGTGTGTGTGTGCGTGCGGGTGTGTGTGTGTGTGTGTGTGTGTACGTGCGGGTGTGTGTGTGTTTGTGTGTGTGTGTGTGTGTGTGTGTGCGTGCGGGTGTGTGTGTGTTTGTGTGTGTGTGTGTGTGTGTGTGTGTGTGTGTGTGTGTGTATGCATCTGTGTGCTTATGTGTCTGTGTGTGTGTGCATCTGTGTGCTTATGTGTATGTGTGTCTGTGTGTGTATGTCTGGGAAGAACCGAAGGCCTTTTTTTCATTCAAAGGTATAATGAACATGGAAATCTAAAGGACAAATTGATCTTTTTTACATTAATAAATAGCTAATTACTACTATTATTAAATGTATTTTTATAATTGTAATATAAGCATCTTTACTGTCCTTAGTATCATTATAATCATGGACATTATCATTATCATCATTAACATATTAATATCATTACTATCATTATCATCCCTTTATCATTATCTCCCTGAATGGCTAATCACCCCATTTTTTAATACTTAGAATATAAACTTTCTTGAAAAAAAATAATAAAAATTACATATTCTGACAAAACTTTTCACCTTCTGCAAATAAAACTTTGTCATTAGCAAAGCCTTATGTAAAGTTGTTGTTTTTGTTGTTGTTGTGCTATTGCTGTCGTCTTTGTTGTTGTGGCTGTTCTTGTTATTGTTGTTGTTGTTGTTGTTATTCTTTCCGTAGTTACTGTTGTTGTTGTTATTGTTGTTATTGTTGCTTTTATTATTACTGTTGTAGTTATTATCGTTGTTGTTGTTGCTAATATCATTATTTTTATTGTTGTTGGTGTTGTTATTGTTGCTTCTGTTATTACTGTTACTGTTGTTAATGAGCTGAAGTGGTTGTTTCTGCATTCTATCGTTAAATATATGTGTATGTCAGTGTGGTGTATGCATATACCATAATTGTTTACTTGTTTGTTTTGTATAGTGTGGCCTATTTGTTTGTGCACATATATGCTACAAAATTTCTATCATTCAATCCACAAACACGATTCACAAATAAACAAACAAAAAAATAACAATCCAGAAACCACAGTCCACAAACCACAACCTGCAATCCACAACACCCTCCCTTATGACACAACCACCGCCAACCCTTTCACAATCTATAATTCACAACCACTCTCTCTTAGTCCGCACCCAATAATTCACAACCTTAAACTTTATTCCACAACCATTGCCCTTTCTGCCATAGCTTGTAATCCTCAACTCTATCCCTTATACCACAACCACAGAGCTCCTTATTTCACAACCACTGGCCCTTATTTTATAACCTATAATCCACAACCTCTGTCCCTTATACTACAACTTCTGCCCCTTATACCACAACTTCTGCTCCTTATACTACAACCTCTGCCCCTTATACCACAACCTCTGCCCCTTATACCACAACCTCTGCCCCTTATACCACAACCTCTGCCCCTTATACCACAACCTCTGCCCCTTATACCACAACCTCTGCCCCTTATACCACAACCTCTGCCCCTTATACCACAACCTCTGCCCCCTATACCACAACTTCTGCCCCTTATACCACAACCTCTGCCCCTTATACCACAACCTCTGCCGCTTATACCACAACCTCTGCCCCTTATACCACAACCTCTGCCCCTTATACCACAACTTCTGCCCCTTA